AATGATGTCTTAAGTTTCTCATGGAAATTGCAACCATGAATTACTGAAATTACATAGTACCTAATACTGTTTTGCTAATAATGTATTTCTAACCGCATTGAGGCTTTATGCTACTCTAGTGAAAGCATCATGGTCTCAGTACGTATTAATATGCAGTTATTTTAAAGAATTTAGTATCTAAACAACAAACTGCTTTCATCTAGTCTACAATGTAAGTTACTCTGTAATGACGGTATATTTATTCATTTCGTCCTTAATACTTACACAAATCTATATTAAACAAGCAAAAAAAACCCTGAAATAAAAAATTGTCATATATTTCAAAATAGATACTCAGGTCAAGGGTAATTGGAGACATTTAAATAACAAAACAATTTTACTTTATTTTTCTGACAATTGTTTTTAAATAGATTTTTCTTGTGAAAATTCCAGCGAACATTTATTTTAGAAAGACAAGAATATTACTACATAATGATTTAACCAAATTAATTACACAGTTATGTTTTGCCTTGTTAACTACCTGAAAAAGAAATATGTATCTGTGCATTACTTTAAAAGAGATTGGGGGCACCCATGGCTCAGGACCATGCTACTCTTGATCTCAGGGTTGTGAGTTCGAGCCCCATGCTGGGATTACTTAAAAATCTTAAAAAAGGTTAAAAAAAAAAAGAGATTAGACTTTGGTGAAAATATTGAATAGAGAAATTTGTGTAGTCTTGTAATTGCCTTACATACAGAAAAAAATAAATCTTATTCTCTGAAATTACTTTAAGGTTTGTGCATTTGCAGTACCAGGGAGAGAGAGATCTCATTGAAGGGTGAACATTGCAGGAATGCAGCTCGCTTACTTTTGAGGATCCTGAGCAGCCTGCCAATTACATAGATAAGAAAACTGGGTTTTAGAAAGATACTTGACCACTAATGGCCAATGACAGTGTGACCTTCAAACTCGGCTCTAGGTGACCCTAAGTCCATGCTCTTCCATCAGCTGGGGTGTGACTGCAGAGGGATGAGGTGCACGGGGGTCCCGCAGGGGTGCCCCTCCAGTTGTGGTTAGCGCACTTGCCCCACTTCAGTGTTGAGGCAAGTCGTCCCATGGTAGTAAGCAGCCCCCACATTTCAGGGCTTCACACCCACTGTGGGACCCAGTGACCCTGCAGGGTTGGCTGCTGGGGAGACTGGGCTGTTTCACTTTATGGCTCTCCCACTCCTACACAGACTTTGCCAGGCACTGCAGCAAGGGAAAACAGGGCTGGCCGGTCACTCACTGGCTCTTAAGTGACATACTGCTTCTACACCATTTCATTAACCAAAACAAGTCACAGGGCCATGCCTAACACCACAGGGGTGGAAGGTGAAATCGTGTGTGCTTAGCAGAGGAAAATCAAAACCAGTAAACAGCACGGATGTTTAGGGAGGAGGTTAGGATTTCAACTGGTGGCTGTAAGAGGGGATATTCCCAGTGAAGGGAAGATGTGAGCAAAACTGGGGAGGTGAGGAGGCAGAAGCAAGTTTGTGAGATGGAGAGGCATTCACCTGTGAAATAGTAGGAAACTGAGCTACCAAGATGAACCAGGCTGAGCTGACTGCATGAGAGGCTGTAATTAGGGGGATGGCAGTTATGACACGATTGCTGTCGTGTGTTAGGAAGTTCAGATGGGTTTGAAATAGGAGGGACAGTGCAGCAAAATCTCAGGAGAGTACTGAGGGTAAAGAGAAGTGCCAGGGTTGGGGACCAACAGGACATGCAAAGTGAGAAGGGAGGGAGTTAGAACGACCCTGAAATCAGAGCAAGGAGCCCCTGAGTTGGGCGTTTGGAGAAGGCATGTGATGGGGTGGGGGGGCGGGCTGGAGAAAGAGGGAAAAGGAGGGGACTGGCAGCAAGACACCCTTGAGTCTTGGAGATGGAAACAACTGGAAAGGTGGTTTAGTAATTTGGGAAGGATAGATGAGCACTTGTTTTCTCCCACATACAGAATTACAGTTTAAAAATTCACAGTACGGGGGCACCTGGGTGGCTCAGTCGTTAAGCGTCTGCCTTCGGCTCAGGTCATGATCCCAGGGTCCTGGGATCGAGCCCCGCATCGGGCTCCCTGCTCGGCAGGAAGCCTGCTTCTCCCTCTCCCACTCCCCCTGCTTGTGTTCCCTCTCTAGCTGTCTCTCTCTCTGTCAAATAAATAAATAAAATCTTTAAAAAAAAAAAAATTCACAGTACGTAATGTACCAAATTCGTTATAGACATTGCATTGTGATGAAAACAATTATGATAATACATAGTGAAAATAACCACCACTCAGATATTTATTAAAGCATTCTATTGCTTGCAACTCTCCCAAGGCTCTAGAGGCTTCCTGCAATGTCCTGAACAAATGGAATTTCTAATGTAGTGTCTTTTAATAATTAAAAATATGCATAAAAAGTTAAAATTTTACAATTTTTCTTTTTTCCACATCCATAAGCATGAATACTTCTGTACTGTCTCACTCACTTTCAAGTCTGTTAAAAAAATCTTTTCTGCAACCCTACAGTACCAATGTTCAAATTAGAATGACAACATCTCTATAGCCATGGCCTCTTGGCGAGCACATTCATGTGCCTTACTTGAATTTAAACAGTGTAACAGTTCTGTACGGTGGACAGTCGGGTAATCCGCACCGTGATGTTTATTTTTCACCAGAGGAAACCAAGTCTCAGAGAGCTGCAAGGGTCCATTCACTGTCCTATAATTAGTGTTAAGAGACAGACCTCAAACTTGAGAATTTGACTGTTGACCCTGTGCTACTTTCTCATCCCAACACTTAGGATAACACGTACAGAATAGATTCCCATGCTGGCTCTGTGACATAATGGAGACAGTCTCACTTAGGTGTGACTTCAGATGTGTGACCTTGGAAAAGTCAGTCTCAAGGTCAGAAAGGATCTAAAAGATCATCGAAGCCAGTGGTTATCAGACCTGTCAGAGTCACTCAGGGAGATTCTGGATCCTGATTCAGTGTCTAGGACTGGGTTGAGGGAATATGTAGGTTTAAAAAGTCCTCTGAAATGTGAACATGGAGTTGATAGTTGATAGCTGAGGAGTAATTGTTTCCCTTCAAGTTATGATAACGGTATTAGGAAAATATGTATTTTTGACAGTCCTTGTCTTTTTTTTTTTTTTCTTTTTTTAAGATTTGAGAGTGAGAGTGCACATGTAGATGGGTGCACGTGTGAGCAGGGGAAGGGGCAGAGGGAGAAAGAGACTCTCAAGCAGACTCCCTGCTAAGCGTTGAGCCTGACGCAGGGCTCCATCTCATGACTCGGAGATCATGACCTGAGTGGAAACCAAGAGTCGGTCGCTCAACCAACAGAGCCACCCAGGGGCCCCAACAGTCCTTGTCTTCTAAGTATTCATTGGAAACACTTAGGAATGAAATAAAATAATGTCTGACTACATTTAAAAAATAATCCAGGGATGAGGAAAGAGGGCAGAGGGTGCGTGAAACAGGCTTGTGATGAATGTGGGAGCGGTGGAGGGTGGGAGGGGGCAGGGAGCTCTCTATACTATTATGCCCATGGATAGCATTGAAAATTTTCTATCCTAAGAAAGCTACAAAACAAGTAAAAAGCTCCCTAGGAATCTCTGATGACCACCAACTTTTGGAAATCTCAGATCTAATCCAAGCACATCACTCTAACTACAGAGGTTCCCTGTCAGCTGGGCTATTTGCACTCAGCTACATTAGAGCGGTATTGCTGAGGAGAACTCTCCTACTTGCCTTCCCGGCCAGTAGCAGCAATCAAGAAATAGTGGTACTGAAACAGGGTGTTTAGAACACAGCTGATCCTTGATCAATGCAAGGGTTAGGGCGCCAACCCCTCAGTCAAAAACATGTGCTTTACTTTGGACTCCCCCAAAACTTTAACTACTAATAGCCTGCTGTTGACCAGAAGCCTTCTGATAACAAACAGTTAACCCATATTGTACATTATATGCATTATGTAAGGTATTCTCAAAGTAAGCTAGAGAAAAGTAAATGTTATTGAGAAGATCTTAAAGAAAATAGCTTTATTGTACCATACGTACACGTAAAACACCTACGTGTGAGTGGACCATCGCAGTTCAAACCCATGTTGTTCATGGGTCAGGAGTGTAGTGAAGTAAGGTGAGTAAGAACGGCTGGACACACGTGCCCCTGTGTGAGCCTGAGTGCTCTCCCACCTGAGGTCCGTCCCTCAAAAATGGGCATGTTTTCTAGGTCCTCTCTTGGATTCTATTCCTTTCCCTTCATTCGCAGTCCATTCTCAGGTAACTACTAACATTTCCACGTTGACCTTTACCCTGCAGTTTCCCAACTCTGTATCAAGTGTCGGTTTACTTTCCTTCATCCTGCTTGGATTTAGAAGCACATTTAATTTGAAGACTCATGTGTTTCTGACATTCTGGAACATTCCCACCTTTTATTGTTTTAATTATGCTTGTCTGTCATTCCCTTCATTCCTCTGGAATTCTAATTAGATTAGATTGAACCCTTAGCCTATTCTTGTCCCTCATAGGACTCCTGTCTTTAGAAATCTCTTTCCATTCTACTTTCCAGATACGTTTCTGAGCCCGTTTCTTCTATTATGTTTATGTCAATTGCTACATTTATCATCTCTAGGATTTCTAGTTGGTTCTGTTTAAATATACACTTGTTTTATTTCTGCCACTTCAGTATTTCACAATTTCTTATCCCTTTTTATGGGCATTATCCCATCATATATTTCTTTAAGTTTCCTAAATATTTATTTAAAGCTCTTTTCAGAATGTTTCATTATTTTTATTTTGTCTGGAGTGAATTTATCTTTTTAAAAATTTTTATTTAAATTCAATTTAGTTAGCATATATTATTAGTTTCAGAGGTAGAGTTTAGTGACTCATCAGTTGCATATAACACCCAGTGTTCATTACATCAAGTGCCCTCCTTCATGCCCATCACCCAGTTACCCCATGCCCCTAACCCCCTCCCCTCCAGCAACCCTCAGTTTGTTCTCTATAGTTAAGAGTCCCTTATGGATTGTCTCCCTCTCTGATTTCATCTTATTTTTGCTTCCCTTCCCCTATGTTCACCTGCTTTGTCTTAAATTCCACATATTAGTGAGATCATATGATAATTGTCTTTGTCTGATTGCCTTATTTTGCTTAGCATAATACCTTCTACCATCCATGTTGTTGCAAATGGCAAGATTTCATTCTTTTTGATGGTGGAGTAATATTCCATTGTGTGTGTGTGTATACACCACATTTTCTTTAACCATTCGTCTGTTGATGGACATCATCTAGGCTTTTCCCATAGTTTGGCTATTGTGGACACTGCTGCTATAAACGTTAGGGTGCAGGTGCCCCTTTGGATCACTATTTTTGTATCCTCTGGATAAATACCTAGTAGTTCAATTGCTGGGTTGTCTTCTATTTTTAACTTTTTGAGGAACCTCCATACTGTTTTCCAGAGTGGCTGCACCAGTTTGCTTTCCCACCAACAGTGTAAGAGGGTTCCCCTTTCTCCACATCCTCGCCAACATCTGTTGTTTCCTGACTTGTTAATTTTAGCCTGGAGTGAATTCATCTTTCGATTCTTGCTTTTGACGGTAACGTTAGCATTTGGTTTGTGCATGTGTTTTGGAATTTTGGGTTTGTCAACTCATCCTAGGTGGCGATTCTCTCAATCTCTCTTTCTTTCTCCCCCTCTCTCGGTGCCTCTTTGCTCACACCTCCTTCTGGCTAACGAAGGCATTGACCTGGTCCAAGTGGGGCCTTCATCCTGGAGCAAGGAGTGTTGTCCTGGCAGGAGGCATCCGGATATACCAATGTATGGCTTAGCTCAGCTCCTGGTCAGAAGGCTGGATCCGTGTTTCCTCCCCTCCCTGTGGGCTCTTAGTCCCCACTGCCCAACAGGACCCCACCTCCTTGTGGGATCTGCCTGCTCTGGGCCCCAAGTCCAGCAGGATGGCTTCTCTAACTCCTTCTCATCCTGTGCACTTGTGTCCAATGCGGATCCTCAGGGATGTTTGGTTGTTTCAAGTACCCTCTAATTTTACATTTTCTCTGTCCTTCATCTATCATCAGTGTGTATTTAGAGCAGGGGCATGTGTGTGGCAACGGTACCTCGAGCACAAACACCGTCTTAACCAAAGCCTCAGGCCAAGATCTTCACTTCCCACAAGACTTTGCAGACATCAGCTATTTTAAAAATGTTTAAGTTGTACTGCATTTCCAAAAGCAAACACCTATAATTTGGTATTTTTGATTTCCAGAGACGCTAGTGGATAAAGGAGAGGCCGGGGGGAAGACCTGAGATATTCCACTTTCAGGTTTCCCATGAACAATACATTTCTCAACATTTACTTCTCTTGGTTTCTCCAGTTCTTAGTGCTCGTAAAGCATTTAATAGTCCACGTTCCCTTCATCTGGTCTGTGTTTTCATTTGTTCAAATACGATGTAATGGGAGTTTGCATTTAAAAATATGTTTTCTAACGAAATTATATATATTCTATATAACAGCATATATTATATATATAATTTATATTACTTATGTAAATAATTATAGGACACATTTTATTTATATTTTATTTTTATAATATGTAATTATATTATAAAATTTTTTGTTTGTGTATATATATATATCATACCCACTTTCTGGCAGAAAGGGGCATGAGACATAGGGAATAAAGGTTGACATATTTGTACCTTTGGTTCTTCTTAGGTCTGTTAAATTCCTGATCTTTTTCCTGACACTTTCTAGTTTCCAGAGCCTATGAAAACTGGGGCAGGAGTCAGTTCACCTTAGAACCTGGTTTTCACAATGTCTCTTTGCTTCTGTTGAATCAATGGCAGCCAGTGGACGGAGTCATGTGCAAGCCGCTCAGTAGACCAAGACCTCTGTTGTAGGGATGAGGCAAACACGCCTTTTCCTTCCAGCCCCACTGTCTGGAACTATACTTTTTATTATCTAGAGAAAAGGTGAAAGGCTGGGTGGAAACCATCTGTGGCTTCCATGCTGTGGCGTCCACCCGTGTAAAGATTACTCACTTGAGTGACGGCGCTACCGCAAGAGGGCTGGCGGCGCTGGGCTGGGGGCCGCGGACCACAGCGGCCTCCACTGCGGTCAGTGATTATTCATCCAACATCAATTATAGGCAAAGCACAGCGCTGGGAGTGGGGGACAGAAGCAGAGTCAGAAAGACAAGTCCTGGGCATCAAGTGGCCTTAGGTAAACTAAGGTAACATGAAGCAGTTCTCCAACACATTAAGGGTAAGTGACCGGTGTTCACAAGGTATAATTCCCCTCTAACACCTTAAACACACACACATACACACACACACACGTGCACGCGCACGCACATGGTCTATTTCCTTTGCATTCAGTGTAAATACCTTCTTTACTTAAGATTTGGCATTTTTTTTTTTTTGCAGCATTATCTTAATTTATAAAATGCTAACAAACACATTTAACCACTGATGTCTGAGTTGGTAAGCTTAATTTCCTATTTTAAGGGCTTTATGTATCTCTGCTTTCCCTTGTTTCCTGAAAATTCTAACAGGTAACCTAGAATTTAACCATTAAGAACATGGAAATATAATGCAGGAAGAATTTAAAGGTATATTCCTCCATTTATCAGTAAAGTAGCACATACCCTCCTTACTTCTGTAGACTTAATCCTTTGGAATCTCTCTCTTTTTAAAAGTTAAATTAACAACACTGACATTCCTAGCCATGGGTTCGGCAGAGGAAGAGTCTGGTTATTTAACTTTCTATAACTAACTAGATGAACTTCACTTGTGGAATGTAGTCTACCCCAGAAAGTTTGCTCTTTGTAACTTTATTATATCCCTTTACTTGACGTTTTATTTAAAGACCATCCTCTGAATTGATAGATCTGGCAAAAGGGCTCCTAAGATGATCTGTACAATCTTAGGATTAAAATATTTCAAAATTAACTTACTGAAATATGAAATTTATTGGTGGCTAGAAAACTAAATGACTTACGGATTAAACAGAGTTGATATATTTGTATCATTTGTTCTTCTGAGATGGATTAAGCTCCTAATCTTTCTCTTGGCATTTTCTGTTTTCCAAAGCTTGGGAAAATTGGGGCAGGAATAGGTTTATTACATTTGGTTGGTCTTAGAACCTGGTTTTCATTAATACTGGAAAAAATTTTTTTAAGTTCAGAGTTTAACCAGAATTTTAATAAAATATCATTACTTATTTGTTCCCATTACATTATACTTTAAGGTTTTAAGTAGATTTAAGTTTTAGACAGAGATACTTAGAAATATTTGTAGATCAATGCAGACTTAAGCAGGAGCTCTTACTCTTTTGAGTGTAACTAAAAATAATACTTTAAAGAAAGAAAACTAAAAGTTAAATACGAGGTGGAAAATAAATCTTAAAACAGAGTTATAGATGAAAAAGATTTTCTTTTTCAACCTCACCCAGCTTTGCTCACCTTCAGCCTAGTCTCTGGTCTCACATCTTGGTTTCTCGGTCTACAAGGTGGGGCGAATAATAAATCCCGCATGAATTTATTTTTATACAGCATTTCTTGAGGAGCAGTTAAATCTGATTTCTTAAATGTATCAGAACTCAACAGTACACTGAAAATAGAAGACTGTGTCTAATTATTTTTATAATGTGGTATCAAAATTAACACAGGGATCAGTGTATTACCTTGAGGTCTTGAACAATGATAGTTAATGAAGAACGTCAGCCTGAATATTTTCATGGCCTGAACACATATATACTGGCTCTTCATGATTTAGAAATCATAGGCATTCTTCGGATTTCGGGTTGCTTTTAAACCTTTGTCAGTAAACTAATGCTGGTTGCAATCTACTATGAGTTGTAGTTTGGATATTAATATACTACTCACATATAACATAAATGGGGATTTTTAATGAGACTCAAGAAAACTACAATAATTAACATTAAGAGCTGTCTATGTGTCCTGCATCATACTGCAGGCCTTCCGTGCGTGCCAGACGTTTTTATTACAAAAACGACACTGCAGGGAGGTCACACGTACTTTCTAGCAATGCTGAATTTTCCCTAGCCATACTGCACGTCCTTCGGACACCAGCAAGCTACTCACCAGCTTTGCACACTGCGTAAGTTTTCACGAGCGAGTGGTTCCTGGTCACAGCATCATCGGGAATTAAGCTCTGACAACGAGAACTCGGCTGACACGGCGGCTGATGACTCGCGGGGCGCGCGTGGCATCTAGCGAGACAGTTCCAAGCCCTGTCACTCTGCCGTGTTCGCTACAAACCCAAAACAAAACACAAAGAAAAAGCCCGGGAACTTAAAGGTGTAAAGGAAGGGAATGCCAGAAGAACGTGAAGACACCATTTGTACGTCTTTGCTTTTCTACAAGGCACCGCCCTCTAATTTCGGGAGCGCAGACCACAAACTCGCGAAGGATTCCTCCCCCCACCCCCCTGGCTCAGCACCTGGGGGCCCCTGGGCTGAAGAGTGGAGGGAGGAAAAAGCTGAGGACAAAGCCCAGTAGGGATGATCTCTTCTTTGCTACAAAAGAAAAGATCCCGTTGGTGGAGAGCGAAATTACCTGCACACTGGAAGACAAAGGAATGACAAAAATAAAGAGGCTTTGTCAAATATAACCCCCTGTTTTCATTCCTTAGCTCTGGCAATTCGAGGATGAAGGCTTTGGTTACAGCACGTCACAGGTAATGTAAGAAACCAGCTTCACCTGAGTGAGCACTGCACGGAGGCAAGAGTCTGTTGGAATGTGCTCTGTGGCCCAAAATAATTTTGGGGCGGGGGGGAGGTGGGGGGCAATTAAAGAGAAGCGCCTAATGAAACAAGCATCCCTACAATTTAGAAAGCTTGCTAGTGACATCGGGTTGAGGCCTCCACACCTACAGGGCGCTTGGAGGCTTTGACAGCGGGGTGAGGTGGCATCTCTCCCTGCCCCCAAATGACTCTTCCCCTGTCCCGTTAGGCCCGCTCTCCACGTCTGGGGGGCTCTGCGGGTACAATCGGTCCCGGGCAGCCAGACACAAAGAGGGCTGGGCACCCCGGCCGCACCCTGCACCGCAGGACACAGCTGGACGGCAGCAAAGGCTCAAAGAACGCAGGGCAGCGGAGGAGGGGGTTGCCTCCCGAACACGGGGAGCGCGGCCCAAGGTCTTTGAACACCCGCACGAGCCTACCCGTCGTCCTCCTCAGAAGGTGTGCTCTGACTGGACCCCGGCAAAAAGGGAACCACCCTGCAAGGGACACCTTAGACAGCCACCACACCCGCGAGGACCCAGGCGGGGTCAGAAGGGGAGCCGGGCAGGCACGGGCCCTGCAGCGGGGGCCAGCACCGCCGCTCTCCCGCGCTCGCCAACGCGCCGCCCACGCCCACGGGGTTTCTGCCCGCGCTCTGCGGTCCCTCCGCCCTTGAGCGCCCACACCCACCGCCCCAGCCCGGCCCGCGCGCCCGGCCCCAGCCCCGTCCGTCGGAGCCCAGCCCCCTGCAGACCCAACCCCTTCGGAACCCGGCCCTGCCGGTCCAAACCCAGCCCCCTGCAGACCCAACCCCTTCGGAACCCAGCCCCGTCCGTCGGAGCCCAGCCCCCTGCAGACCCAACCCCTTCGGAACCCGGCCCCACCGGGTCGAACCCAGCCCCCTGCAGACCCAACCCCTTCGGAACCCGGCCCCGTCCGTCGGAGCCCAGCCCCCTGCAGACCCAACCCCTTCGGAACCCGGCCCCACCGGGGCGAACCCAGTCGAACCCAGCACCCGGCAAAGCAGCAGCTCCGGAGCCCAGACCCCCTCGGTCGAACCCAACACCCTGCAGACCCGACACGGTCGGAACCCGCCCCCCGCCGGGGCCCCGCCCCGCCCCGCCCCGGCCCCGGCGCGCGGGAGGTGAGGCGGCCCGGCGCGCGGCGGCCTGTCGGCGGCCGGCGCAGCAGCACCTAGCGGAGGCCGCCCGAGGTGCGGCGGTGCGGGCGCGCGGGGGCGGGCACGCGGGCGCGGGGGCGCGCACGGCGGGCGGGGCGGGGCGGGGCGGGCGCGCGGGCGGCGTGTGCGGGCGCTCGGGCGCACACCGGCCGGCTGGGCTGACGCGGGGCGGGCCGGCGGCGGCGGCCGGAGCGGCCGGGAGCCCGGGGCCCGAGGCGGCGGCGGCGGCGGCGGCGGCGGCCGAGCGCGGGGCGAGCCGGGCCCGCGGGCCTGTGGGCGCGCGCGGTCCCAGCCGGCCCGGCCCCGACCCCCGCGGCGGCGCGGGCCGGGGAGCGCGGCCGGGAGGATGTCGGCGGGCGGCCGCGACGAGGAGCGGCGGAAGCTGGCCGACATCATCCAGCACTGGAACGCCAACCGGCTGGACCTGTTCGAGATCAGCCGGCCCACCGAGGTGAGCGCGCCGCCCCCCCCGCGGGCCGCCCCCGCCGGCGCGGCGCCCCGGCCACCTGTGCGGCGCGGGCCGGGGTCTGCCCGCGAGGCCGTGCGGCGGGAGGCGGGCGTGACCCGACGGCGGCGGGGCGCGCGGACCTTTGTCGCGCGGCGAGCGTGCGACCGGCGGGGCCGTGCCTCGGTGCGTTCGGACCGCTGGGGGCTGAGCGGCGAGCGCAGGGTCAGCGGCGGCCGAGCTCCGACCGCGCGCGCCCGCCGGCGGCGCGGCCCGGGACCGCGGTCCGGGGCGGGGAGGCCTCCCTCCCCCTCGTTGCCGGCCGCCCGGTTGCGGCCGGGGCGCCCCTCCCCCGCCGCCCGGCCCGCGCGTCGCGGCGACCCGGCGGGGCGGGGGCGGTCGCGCTCGCTCCCGGCGCCGGACAATGGCCGCCGTGCGCGGCGGGGCCGCTCGCAGCGTTCGAGGGGCCCGCGGGAAGGTGGTGGGGGCCGGCCGGGCCCGGGGCGCTTTCGTGACCGCCCGCGCCGACAGCCGCGCCTCAGCCCTGGGCTGCGCCTCGCAGGCCGGGGCGGCGCACCTGGCGCGGGAGCCGGGCGCTCCGGCGGCGCGGGCTTGGCGGCGCGCGGCTCTGCCGGCGCCTCGGGGCCGGGGCGCAGGCGGCGCCGCTTGCTCGGGTGCCGCTGCGAGCCCCGCGCGAAGCCCATCGTCTCTGGCCGTCAGCCCCGGGCCGTGTTTCTGGGCGGAGCTGGCCTGCGCGAGTCGAGCCTCCTGGACGCGCCCGCGGGCGCAGGCTTCCTCCGGTCTGGGCGGGCAGAGCCTGGCCTCAGCGCGCGGCGTTGGTTTGGGCCGCCCGTGCAGCGCAGCGCGGCCGCCGCGAGCCGCGGTCCCCCCCAGGCGGTCTTCGGCCGGGCCCCGCGAGCGGATTGCCGAAAGGCGCTTGTGCTCACCCGCGGACGCGGCACGTCTTCGAAGGGCGGCGTGCCCTCGCCTTTCGGAATGTGGATGCTCTTCTCTTTCTCTGGCTTAAGAAACGGGGGTGTGAAATACCGTCACGGTGCGTGGCTGCTGTGTTTTTCTCCGGAAAAGGAGAGCCCATTTGTAGTTGTTTTTTGAGAAACTTCCCAAGTCTGGTTGAGAAAAGGAATTTTTTTTCAATCTACTAATAGATAACTTAGTTTTCCCTTGGGGATTTTGAATTGCGTTGGCATTTTTAAAAAGTCTAAACCAGAACCAGATTATAGTTAATTGGTCTCCAAAAATTATATTTTTAAGCGCTCAATTGAAACTTTTTTTCTGTCTTTCCTAGAGGTACTCTAGGTATTAAAACTGGCCTGTCGTTTGCAGAGCTACTTTTTACATAGTTACTCTGCAGGTGAGAAGTTGCTGTGTATGTGTCTTGAAGCAAAGCAGATTTGAAGGACTGGTTCTGAAAAGGACTATGAATTCCATTTCGTAGTTTCTCCTCTCCATCTAACACTTGACCTCTCTTTAGGAATGGTTCTCCAGAATTCTTTGGGGAAGTTCGGCATAATGAAATAAACTGTCCTTTAAAAATGTCTGATGTTATTTATATTAGTTTTTTCATTCTCTAGAACCTAGCTCACGCTTAATACTATGTGTTCTGGAGAACCTTTGCCTACTATTAAATTTATCCTGGTCTTGCAGGTTGAGCTTCGCATTTAACAGGGTGTATTTTTCATTATGATGTAGGTAACGTTCATGTTAGTAATTCTCTAAACCAGTATTTCAACGTTCGTGGTTTCACTCTGCTTTATTTAAACGTGCGTCTAAAAGTGTCTACCATCTGATGATGAATTTGTATTTGGGCATCACAAATCATTTTTCTTAGCTTTCTATAAGAATGTGTGATACAGGCCTTTATTATCTTCAATAAATGTTAAGCAGATTTACTACAGAATTTGATTTGTAGAATGCGATTTAAGCCTTATATTTAAATATCTGGATACTCTTTTTATGTATCTATATGAGAGTGCAGTGGTTTTATTTTCTTTTGTTTGCTTTTGGGGGTGAGGGTACAGTAATCAGTATCCGTTACCAGGTTTTATAACTACATTAATCATTTGTGTTTGGTGGCTGCAGGGAGTCTTGATAACCACGGATGATTCTGTGGCTTCTGTGTTCAGTATAAGATGATAAACTTGGCTTTTTGGACTATATTTACTTTTTGAGAAAATTAGAGTATGTTCTAAAATCAACCTGGTTAAGTTTACTTTTTCCTTCATAATCACATTTATGTGTAAAAGGAGGGCTTCCAGAGGAGAAGCAGGTTATATTTTGTCATTATGTATTTTTCAACCCCTTCCTCGCTTGGGTCCTAGACCCTTTTGAAATTGTAAAATGAGAGTTGATTTAAACTTAATGTTGATATTTTATCACTAGGAGATTGTTGTTAACTTGAACTAAGATCTTGATTACTGTGGAAAACTATAGCTCCTAATAAAAGCTTCTTAAAGCTTTTTAGTCCTATTGTTTTCTTAATGTTAAGGATTTTTTTCTTTTAGGGATTTCTCATTATAATGGCAGAATGCTTGTTGCTAATCTTTACTTCCCATTACTTCCTCAGAAGAGGGCTTCTCTGATTACCCAAACGTCTCCCTCTTGGTTTTTGGAGTTCTGTTGTTTAACTTATCCCAGTCTTGTTATTATAGCCGCTGGTTTCTGTTTCCCTCCCTGATTACATGAAAGCAAGAGTTAGAATTTTATTTTTTTAAACATTGTTATGTCTTTTACCGTGGTAGGTCCTCAATAAATATTTTGCCGAAAAAGTGTTGAATATGGCTTCCTTTCTGTATACCTTTCTTCTTCTTCTTCTTCTTCTTCTTCTTCTTCTTCTTCTTTTTTTTAAGATTTTATTTGTCAGAGAGAGAGCACGAGAACGGGAGAAAGCAGGGGGAGGGGCAGAGGGAGAAGCAGACTCCCTGCTGAGCGGGGAGCCTGATGCAGGACTCATCCCAGGACCCCGGGATCATGACCTGAGCCAAAGAAAGTCAGACGCTTCACCGACTGAGCCACCCAGGCGTCCCTGTATATGTTTATTCTTGACAGAACATGGGGTATATACATATTAAGAACTTGGTGAGATTATGTTAGGCTATTAAAGGTTTATGTTTTCATGTGTTACTCTTTTGCATAAAGGTTACACCTAAATGCAAAAACTATTCTAAGTAGTTGACCATTTTGCTTTACGAGATAGTTCTTAAAGACAGTTTTTTAGAAATAATATATTGAGTTCACTATCTTCTTTTGAAGGGAAAATATAACCTAGAGTTTGTACGTACATCCACATTGCTTTATTAAAGGCGAATATGTTATGTTTTAATATTCTGATTAATCTTCAGAAGTAATGTGGTGATTCATATTACCCAGAGGTGTGTGTAAAAAACTTCTGGTTTGTCAGCAGAGATGGAGTAGGACATTTTTATGTGAAGTAGTAATAAATTGCATAATTTATAGCTAAATCTATATTCCAGGACTAGTGCTTAGGGTGTAACTATGCTTTATCACAAGATTAACTATATTTGAAACGGTTCTAAAAACAACAGTTGTGTTATTGAGCATCGATACTTCAGAAGAGCTCTTTTTCTGGTGACTAATGTATAATGATACAGGCAGGCAGTTGCCAATGATGTGTTTTTACTATTTATAGGCATCTCTGTCTTTTTTTTTTTTTCTTCTTTTTGATTTGAAACTCAGTGGTGGTTGTAACTTTTTTTTTAACCTTTATTTTCTGTAAGAACTGGTTAAGATGTGTTTGTGTGGGTGTGAGCCTGTCAGTCTGAGGTAAACCCTTGTCCAGCACTGTTGAACATCTTAAGTTGAAACTGCATCTAGACTAGCTTGAGTTTGCTCTCCTTCTGCCAGTGAAAACTAATTTTAATTTCTGCGATTTATAGACTTAATGGAATGTAACTGTTGTAACTAGGCTTTTCTAGACTGTAAAATTTGGATCGTGGTTCATAGCGTGGTAGCAGAAGTGTCTCTTTCATGTTCTTGAAAAAAATGAGTCACAGAAGATCAGGGTATGTACCAAATTGGTGGGAAGCTTCTGAAAAGAAGGCTTAGGGTTATGCCATTAAGGATTTATTTGAGTAGTTGTACTGTGGAAGGCATTATTCCTAGGTGTTGCTTATTCTGGTGCCATAGGTTCATTTGTTTATAAGCAGTTTTACCGGACTTGAACTTGGGTATTAATGTCAGAAAATGCTAATAAATAATAATAGCAATTATTTTGATGTAAATCTGTTTTCCTTTATTATAAAATGAAATGGTTACGGGTACTGCAAATAGAACATAAAACTAAACTGATCTCTTAATTGAAAATTATTTTCAGGTTAGGTAAATTCTGTTCATTTTTGTTCAGAAGTTTGCTGTTTCTGTTATTTTCTTGGCTGATTGTAATTAGGATGTACTCATTCACCTTGAAGATGCCTAGGAGAGAGATGACAATTTGTTTGACCTACATTTACACTTGTGAGTTAGATCCTAAATACTTTGCCAACTCTCACAGACCTTTTCGCCATTTTTGGGTGCGTCCCAGTCTGTTAGCTGACACTGACAGGCTGGCAGGGCCTGTAGATCCACGGTGGGCTTCTAGTTAGTGTCCCCATATGTACGAGCTGATGGCAGATGTGGGCATATTGTCAAAGTTGGACCATCTTTATGCATGAGTTATGAATGAGCAGAAGCTTTTCTTAACATCTCCAATCATATATCAGGACCAAATAAAGCAGGCAGAGAGCTGGTGAGGGGGATTTTGTTTGCCTATCTCAGGTCATCTGGTTGAGGTTTGTTTGGTTCTAGTAACAATAACAATGTAAAACTTCACTCACCATTTTGGTATATGTGATTGACCAAAATTGTGTTATAATTTAATTTAGAAAGTGAATGTATTTTATAAGGTGAAAGTAAGCACATGTAGTAGTAGTTCATATGTAAACTGGGGAAGTATTTTCCTGGTGTAAGTTGATTGCAGAAGATAGGGATAA